GTTTTAATAGTATTATTAAAACATAATACTATGTTTTAATATTTGATTAAAATATAGTATTATAGAATATAATAGTTAGAATACCTTTGATCAAACTGCCAGTTAAGTCATACGTGCAACTAGACATGGACTTGAGGTCAAGAGACTTGGACTTAACTTGGACTTGCAAAAAAAAAAAGCCTTTCGCACATCTCTGGTATCTACATTTACCCAGAATGCTTTGCAGCATGCACAACGTGGTGACGTCTGTGTGAAAATATCCTTTCTAATTTCTAAAATCTAAACAGCCTACAATATTTTTGCAATCTTGTTTTTGTCTGAAGTACATTTATTAAATACTGTTTAATGTCACAACTAGTCAGTTTGCTTTAAGTTGTGTCATACTCTCTTCTCGCCGTTCACCTTTAGCTCGAGTCACCTGCCGTCCAGATGAGTTTGAATGTGGCGATGGCACATGCATCCATGGCAGCCGCCAGTGCAACAGTTACTATGACTGCAAAGACATGAGTGATGAACTGGGCTGTGTTAATGGTACAAATCCCCTGTCCTGTCTTTCCTGCCTTTTAAACAATCTGCAGAATCGCTCATTTGTGTTGGTGTTTTATTATGTTTCGCCTACAGTTAGCCACTGTGATGGTCCGACCAGATTTAAATGCCGCAGCGGGGAGTGTATAAGCATGGAGAAAGTGTGTGACAACAAGCGGGACTGCAGGGATTGGTCAGATGAACCTCTTAGAGAGTGTGGTGAGGCCCTTCATTCACAGCTGTCTGTTTAATTACTAGCTTATGTGTCTAATTAGGGTCTCACCAGCTTCAGAGTTGTAATTTTATCCTCGTTAAACTGCTTTTTTTCTTCTTTTTTTCAGGCTCCAATGAGTGCCAGTACAACAATGGCGGCTGCTCTCACATTTGCAATGACCTAAAGATCGGCTATAAGTGCTTATGTCCAACTGGATACAGCCTAGTTGACAACAAACGCTGTGAAGGTAAAGTCACACGTCCATGACAGTTGAACATTCATCCGCTTTCATTCAGGTTTTATGACCTTAGCCCCAATTCACAAGCGATGCCAACAATCTGTTTACTGTGATGCAAACCCTTCTTCCCAGTTATTTACTGTGCTTTCAGATAAAAACTTGAACGTGTAATTCTCATGAGCTCAGCATTTTTCTGTTTAATTATTGAAACTTTTTTTAAAAAACAGATATTGATGAGTGTGCCAACCCAGAAACCTGCAGCCAGATCTGTATCAACCAGATGGGCAGCTACAAATGTGAATGTGAAGAGGGTTACCAAGTGGATCCAGCAACTAAAGCTTGCAAAGCTATTGGTAAGTGGGATTCTCTCAGCTTATGACAGCACTTTTTTCTTTTAAGGACAAAAAAAATAATATTTTAGAGTATGTTTGTGAATGTAAATTGAATTATTTTACAGTCTAAACAAAAAAGTAAACGATTATATGATTGTAAACAGTACTTAAAAATTATTACAAAAATGAAATAAAACTGGGAAAACTCTTGATAGCTAAACTACCGAACATTTGTGAAAGAATGAAAAGCACTTTGCCAACTTTTTTTCAAGTTTTGTTGTTGTTGTTTCTTATTAGTTTGAAACATAATAAAAAGTAATTAAGATACTTGGGTAGTGCTAGCTATCTGGTTTAGAGGGTAAGTCATGGTAAGAGAGACTACAGGTGGCCGACWGGTGCAAATGCCCAGCAAACAGCCAATTGCTTCGCAGACGCGCTACTAACACACTAATGATGCAAACTTCAAAATGCACTAACACAAATAACGAATGCAACAAAATAATAAAAAAAAAACAGTGCTGCAAAATAAAAAAAATTGTATTCACAAATACTACTGCAAGTAATGAAATGCTACAAATTCCAAAATGGAAGAGCACCAGACCACTAGGAGGACTCAACCACCAAGTCATACGAGACCAGACCAGTAAAGACAGGACGCAGAAGAAAGTTGGCATCCTCGGAATGATGAGGTCGGAGTGACATCGTGTCAAAGATGATGGCTTTCCGGTTTCCCACTTGTCTGAAGTCAGAAAAAAGATGGACGCTCGCAGAAAAACAGCCTGTGCTGGTTTTTCTTTTTTGGAATATAAAACGTTGTCAAACAAATTTTCAGGCCACCAGAAGAACATATCAGAGGAGGATGAAGGTGCAGAAGGTATTGTCGTTGTTTAAACAAAAAACAACTTTATTATGTTCAGTTTGTCATTACATTCAGTGATCACGTAACACAGCAATAAAGTAAATAGTGGAATTATTATGGAATATTGCGTATTTTTTATCTTTATTTTAATAA